TGTTCCTTGAGTATCAAGATAGAGAATTACAGGGTAGAGATAATTTTCCTCCTGCATATTGAAGACACTGCTCTGTTGCCTTCTAGCTTCCAAAATCACTATGGAAAAGTCTAAAATAGCTTCAATTCCTAGTATTATGTTTTGAATTTAGTATTTTTCCCTCTCCTCTTTTTCCTCTCTAAAAGCTTATAGGAACTTCTCTTTATGCTCAGTTTTCTAAAAATTTATGATATGAGGCAGATACTTGCTGAGTCTTTCTAATATGAAGAGTCATGTCCTTTAGCTCTGGGAACTTTTCTTCTATTTTGTTGATTTTTCTTTCCTTTCCATTTATTATGTCTCTCTTTTTAGAACTCTCAGTTCTTGGTTATTAGACATCCTGGACTGGCATTCTCTTTGGTTTTTAGCCTATGGGGTTGCTTTCTTTATTTTCTGATATATTTAATAAATTTTAGCCCTTCTATTGAGATTTAATTTCAGATATTGTCATTTTAATTCCAAGAACTTTCTTTTAAAAAAATTTGAGTATTCCTTTTAAACAGTATCCTGTTATTTCATATGATATTATTATATTCTCATAACTCTGAGAATACCGATACCATTTTGGGAAAGCTTTCCTCTCCTGGCATTGTTTTCTTCCTCCAAATACCTGTTTTGTTTTGGTCTTATTTTCCATGCTAGATGCTATTCTCAGACATCCCAAGCTCCTTGTTGTCTGCTCCTGTTGCAAAAGAGATGGAAAGGCTGATTGGAAACTCTGAGCTCATGAATGGGACTTGTTAACTATGTGCTTCACTGTAAAGTGATTGGCTGGAGCAATTATTTGAGGAATATCTGATATTGTCTTTATGGCTTCCTTTGAGAATGTTAGGATTCTTTGAAAAGGTGATACTGTTCTCCTGCCTTTAGGGTAAAAGCCTGGGTTCCAGAGTTCTAAAAACCATGTGAGAGGAGAGCATTTGCTCGCCTGATTTCCCTGTTTTGGTATGGTACCCTTGTCTCAACTGTGCTATATATGTATCCAGCTCAGTGATCTTGTTTTATCCTCTCCAGAGAATACTAAGGTGAAAGAGCAGTGGTTGCCCAGTTATGCAAAAGTGGAACAGTGATTTGGGAATCTGAATCTTAAGCTGACTTCTAACTGATTTCTCTAGAGGAACCTGGTATGGCAAATCTCGGGTAAAAGTCAGGCTCGTTCTTGACTTTTCCTTCTGTTTACATAGGATCCAGTTGTCTCAGGGCTGTTGTGTCTTTGACCACTCTTTCATCTATTTTCCAGCTACCCACATGTTTTTTTTGTGGTCTTGTTCTCTCTGTTATTATGGATTTTTGCCTTAAAAATAATTTCAAAAATCTTTCACATTTAATTTAGACTGGGGAGGAAAGGAAAGAAGGTGCATGGATTCACTGTCCTTACCCCTCTTGTTGACTTTAGCTCTATCTATGGCAGCGGTTTAAAATTTGTTTCTTGCAATGGAGTTCTGTCTTTAGAATAGTATGTAGAAGCTCTGTCATATAAGCAGGACTGCTCTGTTTGAGGAGGAAATGAGAGTTTGTGGTTCTACTTTTTCAATTCTCCTCTTACCCCTTCCTTACCTTGAGAACTCCCTAGAGAGCCTAATTTGTAAACCACTGATTTAGAAGTTATTGAACATGATTTATCTCTTCAGCAGATGTTAGACATTGAGTGCAGTTCATGGCATTATGGAAAGAACATTTGAGGTATTCCTTTAGAGATTAATTTTATTGTTTCTAAATGTTCGAATGGAGCAAGGTAAAGAGAAAGAATTATTCTAAAGAATTTTTTAGTTGGAATAGAATTGGACTCAGTTTCCTTGCAGGCTAACTTTATAATTATAAAAATTGCTATCAAATGCTATTTTTATTTGAGAGGAAAGTCTAGATTTACCTGAATATTAAACAATATTTGACTGTGCATTCACATTTTGTTAATGGAAGATGTTGAAAATTCCCAAATTTACTTTCAGAAAGTTAAAATTCTCTTTTATGCTGGATTTTTATTAGAGCCAACATTTATTCTAAATTACTTATCTAATCTGAGAGTCAGAGATGGTCTTCAGTGTGGGAAAAATATTTAGGCCTTATCTTGCAGAGAAATCATTATTACATTTGTGCATAGTTTAGCTTAACATTTATGTGCAGTCTAGCCATTAAAAACATTGTTATTTCCTTTTTTCTCCACCTTTCCCTGGAGTGGGCCAACAATTACTTGATAAAGCCGTGGAAATATGTGGAAGTATTTATGCACTACAAGTCACTCAAAGGCTGAACTCAAAAGTTGGGAATGGGCACCAAGATTGAGAAACCTGTCAAATGAAATGTATTTTTTTTTCTTTTTGAAAGGGAATCTTGCTCTCTCAGCAGGTTGGAGTGCAGTGGCATGATCTCAGGTCACTGCAACCTCCACCTTCCAGGTTCAAGAGATTCCCCTGCCTCAGCCTCCTGAGTAGCTGAGAGTACAGGCACATGCCACCACGTCCGGCTAATTTTTTGTATGTTAGTAGAGATGGGGTTTCACCATGTTGGCCAGGATGGTCTCGATCTCCTGACCTTGTGATCTGCCCACCTTGGCTTCCCAAAGTGCTGGGATTACAGGCGTGAGCCACCGCGCCTGGCTCGAAATGTATTTTTGTATGTCTCTGAGATGAATCAATGTATTCTTGAATGTGACAAGAAAAAGAAAATAAAAACAAAAAACAAACAAATTCACAGAAACCAAAAAGCACTTTACCAGTATAGAGGACTAAAGTGAAGGAAGTGCAAGTAGCTCTTTGCAGAATCTTCCATTTTAATCCAGCCTCCTACTATTACTTGTCTACCAGTACTACCATTTCACAGAAGGCTCCAGCTTTACCTAAAAAAAATATTTCCAATCATGCTGCAGAAAAGACTTCATTAGCTTCAGTTGCAGGAATGCGACATCTTTAAAAAAGAGAGATGTGACCCAAACTTTTGTGAGAAACATTTTGTGTTTTGATTGCTATTTCATATTTGAAGGACTCTTGAAAAACTAAAAAAAACCTAAAACATTGTCTTGCTCATGGCCTCTTTTGGTGGCAGACTATGAATGGGACATGAATCCCCATAAGAGATATCTAGTGAAGCATTAAGAGATGGATAAACAGGAGCCTGCAGGAAAGGTACTCTTCTAGCCTTCTTATAGAAGAGTATTCAAACAGGAGAAAATGTTTACTTTACAGAGCTATCAACTGTAGAAAAGGAAGCGTCTTGGAAAAGACTTGTTCTGGCAAAGTGCACGCTTTGGCACCTCTGCAGAGAACATGAAGGTTGCCTGCAAACATACAATGTCTACTTGGTTACACGTGACCGCAACAGGGTGTGGACATCATGGCCTCAGCTTGCTTCTTGATGACATCATGAAGCTGGACTCTGGCCAAAGGAGTTTGAGATGAGCCAACACGTTGTGGAGCATGCAGAAGCCACTCATTGCTGTTGTCTTCAAGAATCCAGAGGAAGACATGCAAAGAATTAAATAAAGACGCTGAAGCTGTGTTACAAAACAATTGATCAGATTGAATTATCCGCTCTCTAACAATCTTCTGAGAGTTCGATAAAAACTCTCAGGTCTTCAAGCAATTGCTATTTTTGAGGGCTGAAACTCTTTTTCTTGAAGTCGCCACCATAAATGTTTGTCCTTGTTTTTATTTCTCTTTAATCTTTCACGCACGGGCCTCTCCCACCTGTAGAATCTTGAGTGAGACCATGGGAAGCAGGCAAGATCATTTCCTATGACTTATCTTGGTGGTGGAGAGCCCTGAGTCCAGGATCTGAGATGTCTGCCGGGAGGATTCCCTTTCCTGTTTTTCTAACCACACCTCTGCTTTCTTCTACCCTCCTTCTCTCTCTTCCCTCTTAACCCTTTTGTTTTTACTTTTTTTCATGTTCATAGGCATTCTTTCCTCAGGCTCCCTGAACCTGGGTTGGCTGATCTGAACCAGTGTCACTTTGTGTAGTTAGCGGTAGAGGCGAAAATGTAACGTGTGAAATCACTTTAAAAATGACAAGGTGTTCTAGGAGGGTGGTTTCTACTACTATATCTTCAGGATTGTTATAGGACAGGGCTCACTCCACATAACACAGACCTTCCCTGTGGACCAGCTTTGTCCTGAGTTCCTGTCTTTCCACCTGCTCTTGCTTTACCCAGCTATGGTGATGTCCTCTCTGAGTCAGTTTCCCTTCTCTGCCTTTCTCTTCTTCCCATTATGACTTATTTACTCTCTCTCATTTCCTCAGAGCCTTCTTAGAAGCTGATTACTTTTGGTTGATCAAACACACTGGAGCCAAGGGGATAATGGTTAACAGATTTGGTGGTAACACACCAGGGAAATCCGCATTTTAACTGGAGATTCCATGAACTCCGATATAAAGCTTGACAGTGAAATTTTAGGCAGCATGAGAGGTTAGTGGTTAGGAAGCCTTTTCTTGATAATCTGAAGCCTTGTGCATGTGGATGATTTTTCTATTCCACGCATTCAGGAGGTGAGCTACTACTAAATAAAATATTAAGGCAGGATGTGAAGGGAAGGTTTGTGGTTTGGGAGGGGCTAAGTAACAATGTCTTTTAAAGAAGAGCTAGGAAAGAAATAGTACAGTTAAGACATAATGTACAAAATATGGGTATTTTCAGTTACCCCGGCAGCCTCTATTCTGTTAACATTTCCCTGCATCTGGCTCTGAGAAAGGATAGGCAAATACAGGTTATGCAAATAGAGACACGGTGTCATTGAGCTGGGAGTGGTTTGCCTGCCAAAGGAGACTGCAGAAATTATCTTTTCAAATTCTGGGGACTGTGGGTGTTTGCTGGTGACTGGGATTTTCTATGAATCTAGGGACAAGGGCTTCCGAGTCTCTGGTGTCAACAGGGTGGCTTGACTCTGCCAGAGAGGCTGTTTCCCCGCAGATGATTTTCCAATCCTCTGCAGTAGGAGCCAAGTCTTAGCAACACCTCTCTGGAGAAGATGCCCTCCTCGCTCACGTTGATCTTCATGGCCATCTTTTGCTTGGAAACATTGGCTGCAATGCTTCAGAATGGCTTCTTGGTCACCATGCTGGGCAGGGAGTGGGTGAGGTGCCGGACGCTGCCTGCAAGTGACATGATTATGGCTGGTCTTGCTGCATCCCGGTTCTGCCTGCATGGGTTAGCCATGGTGAACAACCTCCTGGCCTCCCTAGATTTTTGGCATGCAGTTATCTGTTTGAACATTTTCTGGGACCTTTCCAATGCCCTCACTTCATGGTTTACTGCCTTGCTTGCTGCTTTCTACTGTGTGAAGATCTCATCTTTCTCCCACCCCATCTTCGCCTGTCTGAAGTGGAGGATCTCTCGGTCAGTGCCCAAGTTGATGCTGGGCTCCCTGATTATCTGTGGCCTGGAAGTCATCTTATCAGCTGTTGGGAATATACTGTTTGGTTACGTGAAGTTGTCTCTCAGTTCCTACAGAAATGAAACTCTAATTTATAGAGCACAGGATTCGTTTCAGCTCTACTTTTTGCTTTATGAAGGGCTTGTGTTGTCAATTCCATTCCTCCTGTTCCTAGTGTCCACAGTCTTGCTCATAGTGTCACTGTGTGGGCAGTTGGGGCAGATGAGGGAACACACGCCCAGCCCCTGTGTTCCCAGCACCCAGGCTTACACTGTGGCTTTAAAGTCGCTCACCTTCTTCCTTATCTTCTGTACATTATACTTCCTGTCCTTGTTTGTTTCTGCTTTGAAAGTCATAAACTTTCAGAATCACTGGCATTGGGCCTGGGAAGTGCTAATCTATGCCAACATCTCTCTACACTCTACTTTCCTGGTGCTGAAAAGCCCCAAACTGAAAAAGAGCCTGAAGACATGGTTTCGGCTCCAGTGCCCATGTGCTGCTGGCTCATAGGGCTTTGGAAGGTGCTGGTCATAGGATGGTTGTGCTCTTGAGTTATCCATGTCAATAACCAGTCCTGTGATGAATGATCCTGGTTCTGGCAGGAATGCATAAGGTTTGGGTACTGTCTTTCTCTTCCAGTTTCTTCTTTCTCTCCAATGTTATCCATGCCCCAGAATCCCTTTGCCGTCTTGCTGTGTTCCTACCATCCCCTCCACTGCTGTGAGACTCTAGTCCTAGTCTTCGATAAACTTGGCCTTTGCTGGTGGCCTCATTTCCTCATGGGCCCCCATGAATCTATATGCAAGCAACCCTAATATTTGCCAAGCATCATTTTTGTCTGTATGCCCTTTGTAGAGAATGGTAACTGTTGTCAGTTGTCTCTGTGGGCAAACTGAAGCTTATTTTTTATTATTTTATTTTATTTTTGAGATAGGGTCTTGCTCTGTTGCCCAGGCTGGAGTGTAGTGGCACGATCTCAGTTCACTTCAGCCTCCACCTCCTGAGTTCAATCAATTCTCCTGCTTCAGCCTCCAGAGTAGCTGGGACTACAGGCATGTGCCACCATGCCTGGCTAATTTTTGTGTTTTTAGTAGAGATGGGGCTTCATCATGTTGGTCAGACTGATCTCGAATGCCTGACCTCAAATGATCCGCCCCCCTCAGCCTCCTAAAGTGCTGGGATTACAGGCATGAGCCACCATGCTCGGCCTTGAAGCTTGTTTTTTTAATAGTGACATAGATTGTCCAGCACCATCCACTTGACATCACCTGCCCTCCTGCTCCATGGCTGTGTTCTCAGCCCTGTCTCTCCACTTCAGCCCAAGAAATCTTCTCCTCCTCTTCCCCAATGTCCTTTTCTTCCTCATGTGCTTCTTGGGCCTACCCAATACTTCCTTCTTTCCTTTCTCTGCCAATCTTTGTCATTCCTTTCCTTTGTGCTCTGCTTAAGATTGATTCCACCCAGGGAGCTTTTTCAGTCTGAGCTCACAGAAAGCTAAGGACACATAAGAGTTTGGTTCTACTGTAGGTCACATCCATGACTTCATGTGTTCATGTTGAATTAAAAGAAATTGTCCGATGTAAAAATGCTTTTAGGTTTGGCCAACAGAAGATAGATGGAAAACAAAGGAAATGTCCTACAGTTCTTAATTTTGATGATCCTACTCTTCATCTGCTCACCAAGGAGGTGGATCCTAGATGCTGCTGCTGAGAATGGGAATCTCCAGATGGGGATGTCTGCATCCCAGACCTGGGAAGAAAAGTGTAGCAATTTCAGTTTCCATTTATTTTTGTGTTCTCCTTTTAATTCCTATGTTGTGGACATTTTATGATGCACATAACATATTAGTAAAATGTACATGCATATAATTAAAAACAAATATGCATATGGTGGTGTCTTAGTCAGCCTGGGCTGCAGTGACAGAATACCATAGACAGGGTATTTAAGCAACAGACACTTATTTCTCACAGTTCTGGAGCCTGAAACAGGGTGCCAGCACGGTTGGGTTCTGGTGAGGGCCCTTTTCTGGGTTGCAGACAGACACCTTCTTGTTGTGTTCTCACATGGCAGAGAGATTTAACTGTTTTGTGTTTCTTCTTATAAGGGCACTAATCCCATTCACGAGGGCTTCACCCTTATGAGCTAATTGCCTCCTAAAAGCCTTATCTCTCAATGTTATCACATTGAGGATTAAGGTTTCATTTCCATGTATGAAATTTGGGAGGATACGAACATGCAGTTTATAGCTGGTGGGTTGGATGTTCACATATATATATTTTACGTTGGATGAATAACAGGACAGAACAGAGGTTACAAATAATTTTCAAATAGATAAATGCATTTATGGTTAAATGTTCAATAATACTGGGAAGCTGAGGCCCCAAAACATTATGCTACAGTGCTAGCTGGAAGCCAGGCTATGGCAGTAGAAGAGAGAGGGATGACCAGAGGCAAAATAACAAGATCGGGAATTTTTCTCTTGCTAGAGGATGATTAAAGGAGGAGATTCTCAAGTTGTTGATGAAGAATACAGGGGGATTTCCCCAGAGGGCAGAGCGAGAGTGAGGCAGGATGGAGGAACCTGTGGGGAGCTGGCACTGTGGCCAGGCTTTAAATTAAATAGACACCTAAAGTCTATGAATTATCCCACCTAGAGAACATATATTATCCTCGTCATCAATCACGAATAATTTTTCTTTTTTTTTTTTTGTAGCAACATGAGCAAGCTAATGACTTCCTACAGGGAGATTAATAATAAAATATGCTACTGAGCCTTGGGGCTCAAGCTGCAAGTTGGATGGAGGCAGGGGAGGCAGGGAAGGCAGGAGCATGGCGGGGATAGTCTGTCTCCTCTATCCTTCTACTCAGCTGTGAATACCTGGAGACTGCCTTTCCCTTGGGCAGGGCGCCAAGAACTTTACTGAAGGTATCTGGGTGGGGAGCAGGTGGTGATTCAACTCTCATTTCTGTTCCATCTTCATAGTCTTTTGAGCAATGCCAGGTTAAGTGGACTTGTCTCAGGAGTTCCTAACTGGTTGACGGTCTCAATCTCCTTTTTTTAAACTCTAGCTCATAAGAGTTTTAAACTGTAGCTCATAAGATTGTATCTTGACTAAAGATACAATTTAATATCTCATCAAGGCTTCCCAAAATTTCTGTGACCTCTCTCCAGCCTACCTTTTTGGCTTGATATGCCATAGTCTCTATGTAAGTCCTCTGTTGTAGCTAATTGTTCTTGATATAATTTTGTATCCCTCGCCTATGCTGATGCCTCATCTTTTTCCTTCCAACATACAAGACAGTATCTTTGTTGTTTCACAATGATGGGACTGTTACTGCAAAACTCTTCCGAGAAATCTTGGAATGGGACTAGGATGATCCCTAACACATAGAGCCACAGACTGGGAGTCACTTGTTGCGAGTACTGAGTTGAAGGTTTTCCATATAGAGAGCCGACTCAGGATCCCTATCCTACCTCCCTCGTGATTACAATGATAAAGGCTGGTTATAAAAAGTTAAAAACTCTCAGTCTTGGCTTTTACCTAAGGAGATTAATCTGGACATGAGAAAGCCAAATATGACAGACAAGCAAAAAACAACCACAAAAGAATCACCATGAAACACATTGTACATTTAAATTCAAATGATCATTGTCTCTTTTGGATTAACTTGTTCTGCACGTGGTATAAGCCCAGTAAATGTTTGTGGTTTATGTTTAGCACATCAAAGTGCTTTGAGGGCAGATATCTAATTCATTGTTGTAGCCCAATGTCTTTCAAATGGCATATAGAATATTCTTAATAAATTATTATTAAATGAATTGAAGATTAAATGCACATCTTTATCATTGAAGGTGTGGGAGGTGGAGGAGAAAGATTCAAGTTTTCCATATTGGGAGGTTTGCAGCTGGCCATACTTCAGAGCTGTAAGCCCAAAGTTTTCCCCATTTCTCCAGGTTCCAGTAGAAAACAGCCAAATATCAGCCAGAAGAACAAGGGCAAGGAAGAGAGCAGTTGGGAACTCTATCCCCTGGAAATTTGCATCTTCACAGAAAGGCTGAGTGAGTGAATTACCTTAGTTCATCTTCTTTCCTCCACCCAGAAGAACTTTGTCCATGATGGCTGGCCTATGTGCTGGAGAGACAATTCCACCTGGAAGTGGATTGGGAACTGGGAAGAGATGATGCATTTGATTCCCTTTTTGTGGGGGTCCTATATATGGAACTGGTGGGTTGTGGTGCCAACTGGAAGATGTGTATTCTATTAAAAACCCCCTTACTGACATGTTACTTGATCCTGAGCCTTCAATGGTGCTGTATTTGGCTCAGAACAATTTCTGCTTTCCTATCTCCCCGTGACACGTTAACCTACTTACACTCACCTGGGTGTTGATTGCTGATTTTTTTTTTTTAACTCTTTGAAGTTCATTCCTATAAAGAATGTGGTCTTTTCTTACTCTGCCCTCCTCTGGCTGATGTCAATGGTCTGACATTTGGTGCCCTGGACTTCTGTTTTATCTCTGATGCTGTCCTGAATTTTACACTAGTTATTATGCCTCAGAATGGATGGAATAGAAGATAGACATTCTAATAAAGTCATTGTCATCATCGTCATTACTCTTGTCCATATGCAGAGATGTATAGTTTCCAATATATTTACCGTATTTGTGGTCATATTTGTTTGTGATCCATATTTTTCACAGTTGAAAAAAGGATTCAGAGAGGTTAGCTGACTGCCTGAGGATCTGTAGCAATTGTCACAAGACTCAAAATGGGCTTCTGAGTTCAGCTAAGGATGAAAGAAGATGGAGGTGTAACATGTGTTGCTAACTATGGCAGAGATTTCTGGTGCTGGAATCAGTTTGGGTCTTGGTCTTTCCTCTGCATCACTGTGACTTTAGGTGGGAGTCTTAATATATAATTTGGGGCCTTATTTCTTTTATCTGTAAGATTATCTTTAATGTAGTCTTCCATTCTAAGCCAAAATTCTAAGACAACTTTGTGAATTAGAACATAGGACACTTTTCATATTTTACAGATGGACAAAATAAGGTACAGAGGGGCTGACAAATCCAACAACTCACAATAAGGGGTGAAGCTTGGGCTAAAGGCTGTCTCAGCTCCTAGTACAGGGCTCATTCTGCCATATCCCATTGACCTGGGGGTTCCTCTGTGAAATGGTATTTTAGGGGTCACCAGTTATAAAATACACACTTTAAATTTTGAAAAAAGTTGCCTACCTCATTGTGCATAATTGTCTCCTGTGTTCTTTTTGTATGATGACGGTGAGTAATAAGACTTGAATTAAACTTTCTCTGTAAATGTTTGCTCAGTTTTCTCTCTATCTTGGTCAAAAGGGTCTTGCCATAGCACTCTCTTCGTGGAGTTGTGAGAACTAAGGAGAGTACTCAGAACAATCCCTGCAATATAACAATCACTCCCTGCTGTGACTGTGAGTGCTGTCTCAGTAGCAGGTGTGCCCTGCGGATGATACTACTGAGCTGCCAGCAGG